CCAGCTCTCCTGCCCAAGGAGCTGAGAAGGGATCAGGAGCACTCCATGGCTGTCCTGCCCAAGTGAATAGAGTAAAATAGGATCACTAGTGTTCATCTGCCAACTGAACAAATTAACAGCATGTTTTTGTGTACCAGCAGGTATGAGACCAAGAGGAAATTAAGGTATTAAAACTCTAATTCCAGCTCCTTTTAAGAAGTTTTCTTGGTCTACCTTTCTAGCTCTTGTTCCAACCAGTTAACCAAGTTCTGTCAATAAAACTGGCCCAAAGCTCTGAATTTGGATTTCAGAGATGGTCTTAAGATTTTGAGCCAGTAACAGCAGAGGCAGTCAGATGCCCTCCAGAACTACCTCCAGAGGAGCTGAACTAGCATTAACAGCACTGGGAATGTTTGCAGTAGTATCTTGAGTGTGGAGAAGCCCTAATGTTCCAGCATGCTGCTGTCTGTTCCCATTTTGATGAGTTTCACCCAAGCATTTAACATTTCAGCATTAGCTCCATGTCTCACAATGCCATTTATGTAATGATTGCTCATTTGGTTCCCATTAAAATAATGGTATTACTTCTGCAAACCACTGCCTTTAAAAATCAAGCCACCCAGTTTCTCTTTAGATTGTAATAATGGAAATAAATAGTAGGATACACATTATAATTCCCAGAGAATGGGGCGCTTTCTTTCCCCTCTTTGGCATACAAAGTTCAGACATCAGAATCAGGAATGTGAAAGATCTGTTAAGGGTAGATGAATCCATCTTCTGCAAAAACACAGTGTAGTTACTCCCCAGCAGATGTTCCTCAGGTACTATATTGATAAAGGAGTCTACAGCTCTCCATAGTCAGAGAGAGTAATTTCTCTCTTAAAACTGAAGAAATGGAAGTTGCAGTTCTCTCAGGTCATCACAGTGCCACTGTACTTTGAGACAGTGTAGAATATTCCTTGTATTGTATATACCAGCACTTTGAGGAATTCAGTTTCATGTGTCTCAAACAATGGGGGTTTCATCGCTTCCTGTGGGAGCCTGCTCTGCAGCCTAACTCGTTTCACCATCTGGAGCATTTTCCTGAGTGTCTGCCCACTTTAAACTTTCTTTTAATTATGTACCCACTATTTCTTCTTAAAGGTAATTTGCCAAAAGTTTCTGTTGTGTGAAATTCACATTCTGTTGTGCTTTTTATTTTTTATGAGGATTGAGAAAACCCTGAAAGATTGATGACTTCTTCTCTTTGGTTTTTCTTCCTCAGAAATAATAAGTAATTAATAATATATTACTGCTTTTTTAGCCATTCATCTCAGTGATTTACAAGGAAGATCAACATTGTTGTACTCTTTTTACAGATGGGAAAAATTGAAGCACAGGGCAGGAAACAACTTGTCTGAGATCATTCAATGAGCCCATAGCAAGACTTGGATTTTTAAGCAGGTCTCCACAGTACTGCCCTACTTTTTTCTTACTTTTTTATTTTTTGGCCCAGTCTAGTTCCCTTTGGCTTTGTTGGAGTACCTAGGAAGGACAAACTTTCCATGAACTTTATTCAGCATTGCAATATTGTAACTGAAAGGTCAGCTTGTTGAATATTTAACAGTTACTATCTTTCCAGTGTGTTGGTCAAGCATCCTAATTAAGTAGTGATAAATAAAACCAACAAAGCATTTTAACAGATTAATTCAGTCCCTAGGGCCCCCGAGCTGAATTTCCTTCAGCTAGCCTGTGTTTTCCCAGTTGCAGATTGTGCAGATTGAACACTGTATATATCAAGCATACTCTTATCAGCACACTGCAGGGAGATTTCCTTCCTCCTCAGTGCCTCCGTGCTTACTTCACCTGTCATACTTCCCTTAGCTTAGTGGTTTTCAGTAAGTGTGCTTCTCAGAATCTGAATAGTTGCTGAATTATAAATCTTCCCATTTGGAATCATAACACCACAATGTGTACAGCATGATTCCCATTGTGGGGAGTGATACTCAGCAGAGCCCTGAGCAGGCTTACCTGGGTGTCGGAACTCTCTGTGGGCTGCTAAAAGATAGAGGGTTTCTCTTACTTGCTTTGAAGCTTCTACCTGTCCAGCCTGTCATTTCAGTGAATATCTTTGGTGGGACTGGAGTCACCTGAGGAGATGGTGAGTGTTGCTCCTCACCTCCACACAGCAAGGTGAGGGCAGCCAGTTGTGTGTGCTTGCACTCTGGTGTGCAGGGGCCTCGTAAGCGCTCCACACTCCGGAGTGTGAACTGACAGTGCTCACCACATATGAGGTGCGTCACTCTGTGTGGATTGAGAACTGAGAAACCAGGGCTCTGGGCAGGCCAGAGTTAGAGGTGAGGGATAGCACACAGATCCTCCTGGCTGCTGGCCATTGTCAAAGTATGCCAGCAAATGAAGTCTGTAACATTATTCCCCTACTGCTCCTTCAGGCCTCCTTCATTCCAGATGTCATTGCAGCAGTATCTGAGGATTTACTGAAAGCCACAGGACTGCTGTAGGTTGCTGCTTTCAAATTGAGTTTGAGAAACTACCAAGCAGTGTCAGGCCTGTGTCTCCTGGCTATGTGAGTAAAGGAAGCTAAGAAGCAACAATGATTACATAAAGCAGGGAAATTCCCCAGACTTCTCCCAGACTACCTCAAACTGAAGCTGATTTGCGTACATTCGGTACAAATAACTTTGCAGTGGCTTTTAGCCCCATGAAAGGCTTACATGTCCTTGCTTATAATGATATAATCAGGCCAGTTCTCCAAGTTGAATCACTGGGAGAAGACAACAAAAGATCGAATCAGAGCCTATGCAGAAATCTAAGCAGTTTTGTGTAGCACATAGGCCTGCTTCAGGTGCAGATACAACTGGGGATTGCTATTCCACACAAAATCAATGGGAACTGTTTAGTACCTGTTAGTAATCAGCAGTTATTCTAAAAAACAGGGAAAAAACCCTGTACTGTGTTTTATAATGTGGATTTATAATTTGGTATCCTTGTAGTTAAAAACTGTGGTCATCTACTTTACAAAACCTGAGATTCATTTGGCCTGGAATTCCTGAGTGATGTTGTTCAAAAGGCAGTGGTATTAAACAGACTTCCAAGATTCCTGTGATTTGTTTTAAACATCATGGTTTAACAGAAAGAAACAAGTAAGCAAAAAGAGACAGCATATTGAAAATGCACATGGGCTATCTACAGCTCAAACATGTAGTTGGCTAATATGACACAACAAAACCATCTTTTCTTAGAATGACAATGTTCATAAGCCTAGTATATAATGACTATGGAATGCCTGGATCTTTTTGAAGACAGGTGGTATTTTCTGTTTCCTTGCTTAGACAGAGTGGGTCTTAGGGATTTGTTTGTTTGTTTGTTTGTTTGTTTGTTTAAATAGGATTATAATCGAGACTTCCCAGAGGCTCACTATGGGCTGCTTTTTTTGGAAAGAATTGCTTGCTTACTCTTTCCTATCTTTTTATTGAAATAAGTTCTTAGACACATTTCCTGTTAACCCTCTCCCAAAGCTAGATGGAGTGTAGACAACTTCACTTACTCTCTCCCAGTAAATTCACAGAAGGACTTCCTCTACTTTTTTAGGGTGTCAAGCCAGCTCTATATTAACATTAAGTACAGCTGGGTAATGCTGTAGGTGCCTTGCAGTAAATACCAAAGCTGTTTTAAGCAGTCTTAGAGGTGCTTTTGTCAGTGTAGTATATTTCCCTTGAGGAATATGGGAAATTAGAGTTATCATCATTGTCAGTATGGTTATACCAGGACAGCTATATGAGCAACTCCTTGCTTTTTCGTATAGTTAACAAACAGGGCTAAAGAGCAAGAGGAAAACTGAGACACAGCTTGCTTTGACAACCTGTGTAATAAACCTTGTGTTTCTTCTACATATCCTCTGTGTAGAGGATATCACCTCTGTTAATCATGTCTTGTTACTGTGAAATATCCTGCCTTTTACTTTCCTCCTTTCAGATTTATTGACTTTCTTTAAAGCTTTGGTACAGCATAGTAGGAATCAGCCCAGGTATGAGCTGGCTATTCTGCAGAGTCCTTCAGGCACCTGAGGACTCTGTGTGCTTTGATGGAGTTTGTCTCAGTGGGTCAGCTGCAGAGACTGGAAAAGAAATACATATTTGGATAGGCCTGAGATGCCTTGCAGCACAGTTAATAGCAGCAAACCTGAGGACATGACATGATCTGACTGATTCTTAGTACCTTGGATATTTTGGTCCTGGTAACTGTGTGTGTTTCTTCAGTTTGTGTTCATCACCTTGCAGGTTGCTCAGGAAGGCTTTCATTTTGGTTTTAATTATTTCCTTTCACAAACAACAGTCTGTTTTCTACATAAAGTGTCTAATCACAGTCATATAATATCCTTTATTTACATAGAGAGCTTCATCCCAAAGTACTTTACAGTCTGTCATTGACAGAGGTCTAAGTCTAGAAGAGGAGCAGATTATACTGGGTGGGAGCAGGCTCTGATCTCAGCCTAAGTATTAATAAAGCATGTAAAGTGGAGCCATGATATTCTCTCTGAATCCAAGGCAATTTGCTATTAGTTAGAAAATATATTGCTATAAGCTGTGCTCTGTTTAGAAAATGTGTTTGAACTGTCAAACATGAGCTGTAGTGGAGAATGTCCATCTTCTTCCACATCCCATTCTCTGTTCAGGTACTGGCTACCAAAAGTCAGTTTTATTGGAAAATTAGGGTGGTGCAAAGTACCCTAGCAAGTACAGTATTCTCAGCAAATACATGCTGACTTTTGGGGAGGTCTGGCAAAGAATGGTAAAGGGGCCTTGACTAGTCTAAAGTTTGGCTCTAGAGCACATCAGAAAGTTTGCCAGCCAGAATGAGAAGGAGAGCTTGGACACTGGTAACTAGAAGGACAACCAGACAGGCAGAAAAAAGAGGATCGTTACATGCATGTCAATCCATTTTCAGCAGATCTGTACCACTTTGCAATCTCATTGAGAAATATTGTGATTGAGATGTCTTGTCTTTATTTTGTGTTTCAGACCAAAAGGATCAAACTAATTTAGTTTGGGAAGGAACCAATCCTGCCCTGCAGCCCATACGAGTGAGGAACACTGCCTTGAAAGATACTTTACATGATGCTGCTTTACCCAGCACTACTGGTGAGACTTCAAGAAATACATCACATCTATAGAAAGGACAAATGAAACCTCCCCAAAGACTTGAACGAATTATGACATTGGTTTTCAAAAATCTGGTGAAGCAGAGATTGAACATTCTTCTTCTTTTGTCTCTTCAAAGACTAACTTTAAAACCAAGTGCTGTTCTTTGCATATGTGGGGCCATACTTAACTCTGAATTATGAAAAACCTGTATTTTGTTTAGGTTAATTTAAGTGACTTAATAATAAAAACCTCTGAACAACATACTGAAGAAGCATAGGCCACATGTGCCTTCCTAATTCACCTCACCACCTCATCAACTTGGAGGAACCAAAGGCCAAGCACAGGAGTGTCCACAGCCCAAAACACAGTGAATGTTCACTTCTTCTTTTTAAGAGAATGATAAGCCCACACAGTGGCTTGATTACAAAGCAATAGTACAGTAAATACTTAATCCTGTAACTCACTTGGAAATCATCAGAGATGATGTAAGAGTTACAAATAGCTGGGCTCTGACTGTTCAGAATGTTAGGAGAACAGGTAGCAATCTAAAGATGGTGGGAAGATCGATGTGTATTACAGCTGCTCAGCTTTCTCTGTCTTCAAAGCACTTTTGAAGTATTCACACCATGACTGCAAACCACAGAACTGTTTACTTACCTTACAAACTTCGAGAATGTGTGACTTACTCAAGGCTACTAAAAGCATCACTGGCAGTGCTGTGATCAGGATCTGTTCCCAGGTCTCAAGCCTACAGGAAAGCCATGGGTTCAGTTAGTGCCAGCTGGTGCTGAAGTCCCCATTGGCCTGAGAGGCTGGTTCTGTCCTCTGCCATCACAGGGAAAGCCTCCCTGAGCACCCGCTTGAGAAGCAGAGTAATCTGTACAGAAATATGAGAGGTCTGAAGTACTGTCGAAGTGGCTGTGGTAAGCCAGCAAGGACATGAGCTGCAGTGAGGCCACCTCGGGCAGCCAGGCAGGCAGGTTGCCATCTGCTGTTTGCTGGGCAGTCTGGGGGTGACAAGAGAGTTCCTGGGAGCATGTGGCCCCTACTAAAAAGTAGTGCACACCATTAAGGCTGGCAGTGCCAGAGATGTGGAAGCTGATGTTGCATCACTCCCAGCCACCAGACAGGATGGCTTGGAGAGGCCATCTGTCTGCTTGCATGCCTGCTCACACAGCTTTGGGCTCTCCTGTAACAAGGAAGTTTCCATCACAACGAGGAAGCTACTGCATTTCAATAAGCTACTTCTAAAAGTAATACATTTCACCCTGGGGAAGAGCAATTTTCCAGCTTCAGTGTTACTAGTTTTGTGCTTTGAGGAGACCTTTGTAACATGTACTTTTAATTCTGTTTTACCTAAGATTTAGATTTTCTTCTTGACAGTGCTACACTACCAGCCACTCAAACCCTGCTGAACTTGCTTGTAGCCATTTTATCTGAGTATCTTGTAAATATTTGGTAGAGCACTCAGACAGAGAAGTGTTTTTTGCTCTTACAGTCACATGCCTGGTTCCAGGACCTTTAAGAAGTACAATAGACTGAAGGCAGGGAAAATTCCACTGAGATGCATTCAAGTCTCCAGGGAGCAACTGCACTCTGTTTAGACTAAAATTTCTCATTGCTGTCTCTCCCTATTAAAAAAGAAAAACATGGAAGGATTGAGAGGGGAAGCTAGAGAGTTTCATTATTATAAACACCAGAATGTAAGCAGTTTTCACTCATTTCTGTCATATTGCAGAGCCATTTGCAGTTGGAGAGGGAGATAAGCTTTTCAATGCTCTCTGCACTACCTGGGAAATTTCCATCAAGTTTCAAAATGTTTTACAAACATTAGTGAATTAAAGCTTAATCCCCTTCTTCTCATCCCCATGAAGCAAGTACAATTTAAAGAGAGGACTAATGAAACTAAAATAGTTGTGCTTTGCTGAGGTCACAGGGGCAGCGTGGTAACAGAATTTGTGTCTTTGAGTCCCAGCTTTCTGTCTTACACCAAAAACAACACACATTCCTACACCACAAACAACACACATTCCCTCCTTTTCCAAGACTTGCTGTATTTCCCTTCCTAGGATATAGTGAAAACATGCTGGCATCACACCTTGAGACAACCTTGGGTTTTCCCCCTTGCTCACAACTGCTGTTCCATGGAATTAAGATGTTGAAAAGATCAAAGATGGATGTGAGGTGGGGAAAAAAAGATCAAGTCACTGCTCTATCTGCCTTGAGCATGTTCTGCCTCCATTGCTGCCAGTGGAGTTGGTGTTCTGTTGGGAGCAACCTCAAACATATTTGTATGTACTTCCATATAATATTCAGGCAGAACTGTGGTAAAAATCATCATTAACAAGGGAGCTTGGCTGACAAGAAAATTGGACAGATGAGCCAATAAGTCACTGCTGTATTGAATAGATGTAATTTCATTATCCTTCTGTATGTGACCTGCATTTCTTACTGCTTGTTATTATTAGCGTCCTGTAACTACAGCTGCAGCCATCTCTTTCACCTCTTCAGAAGAGAGGGATAATCCATCAGCCAGTTCTTCTCCAGTGGTATGAGTGAGATTTTTACCAGTGGGATTAATGGTTTGTTGAAGAGAGTTGTTCCTAATAGGGCCAAGCAAAAAGCGATGTGCATTTGATGAAGTGGAAGAAAAGAAAACAAATCTATAGATTTAAAGCTCTAAAATTATTTTCCTCTTAGCTTGCCTCATTCACACTGATAGATAACCAGACATGCAAAGCTGGATTTATATTGACAGTGACCAGTGTAAGCAGGACTGAGAGCTTCTCATACTGTGCAAACAAACCTTAAGTCAGTCAGCTACCAAAACCAGATAGTATGTACCAGCTATTCCAGTCCTTGTAGATGAGAGACATTGGGAGGAAAATCAGTCCTCCTGTCTCTCCTGTGACCTTACGATGTACTCCAGCACTAGAACCTTTGGCCTCTTAACGTTGTTACCTTTTGTGACAAGGCTCCAGCACTGGTCCTTGTGTAGGCTGTTTCTCTAGCACCCTTCCCTGCAGAGGATCTGGACTCAGTGCAAATGCTGTGCACAGTGCTTATTTCATTCCCTGCTGAAAGGCAGCCAGGCCTGAGGTGGAACATGGCAAGCGCCTCGCCGCACCTGGCAACTCCACACAGCTGCTGAAAACAAGCAAGGAAGAAAGCAGTGTACAAATGCAGGGGAATTTTCACATAGGCAGGATGTAATTAGCAGAGCTGGAATTTGGCCAGAACACTGGGGTTGAAACACTGGCTTGCAGGTTACACACTGGGATCTTTCATAATTCAAATGCTCAGGATCTCCCATTTCCATTTTACCTGGAAGATATTAGAGGACTGTTCCCTATTTAGTGGTCATGGGCAGCTCTCGAACATCTGAGACAAAGGAAGAAGTGTCTAAATGGTGCTGCACCTGCAGAGCTTCTCTGCCAGCAACTGCCCACCATGAACAACAGCTGAAAAGATCACATCCTGATAGGATCATGGCTGCACCACTGTAAAACACACCTCCATGCCTTGGGGTTCACTTCACCCCTAACTCTCATTATTCAGTTTTCAGGTCAAATCCCTTCCAAACAGAAAGAAAGATGATAAAATTAGGGCAGCACTTACACACAAAACACAAGAAAGAGAATATTACCATTAGATGCTGCTTCAACCTTATTCTCTGTCATTTGAAATAATACCAGATAGCTATTGGACAACAGAGAATTTAGATGAAGCACTTCTCCCCAGTGTTGATGAGTGAGCTTTTCCAACTAGCATTGCTGGTAATACACAGAGCATGAAGAGGTTTTGCTGCCTTCTTCCTTCCAGGAGGGAAGTCATGTTCAATGCAGCAAAACATTTTTTTCCACTTCATGATCTCACTTTTGGTAAAAGCAATTTTTCTGTTTACTACAAGCATGTCCACAAAAGATCAGGAGAGTCACTCATGAACCTCACATGTGTAAAGTCTGCATGATATTTCTACCATAATGTGGCCCACAGTCTGAAATATAAACAATTGCAAATCTCTAACCCCTTGTCAGTCAGGCCTGCAGATGTGTCCACTCAAAGAGCTGACTTCCCCTGTGTGGTGCAGTGTGTGCAAGCAAAACAAAAAGTGTTCCTGCCATCTGAAAAAGCATAATCTCTGCATCACTAAGTCATGAAAGAGGGACCCCTCCTCTGCCTCTGAGGGCTTACCATGCCAGCCTTTGGTTTACTTGAGGAGGGGGATGGTTTATATGCCCAGGCTGCCATGGAAGCCCCCTCTTTGCCAAGTGTTGTTTAATACAACCACCAACCAAACTTGACGAGAGTACCTCAGTCAGTAGGACAACAAACGTACAGCCAGCCTCTCGTGGCAAAATGCACTGGGGAGAGTAAAGAACGGGCAGCTGCAGGCAACAGGAAATCCAGCACTAATAAATAAAACGTCTTATAGCCAGAAAGAGGAAATAAACAGCAGCAGCACAAGCTGAGAGGATAGAAGAGAGCATAACTGTGGCATGGGAATCACTGAGTTACAGTGAGCTTATTTTCACAGAACGTTGTCCCAGTTTGTTATGTGTTCAGACTGCAAAAAGAGTGGGGGAGTGGGGGGACTGCTCAGAGAGAGGGTCTCTATCAGAAGTTGTCAACAACCACTGTAATTAAGGAAGCAGCCAGAGCACACACAACCAGAGCTGCTGCCAAAGTGAAATGAAAGCAATTTTTGTTTTCAGCTACAGCCCCAAAGGATACTAAAAGATGGTTCTACTATGCCAAGTGAGGAGCTTCAGGGACACCATTTCTAGATGGCCCTTCTCCCATCTTTCCAAAATTATACACTGTTGGAAAGCAGCAAGTTACTGTTCCTAAGTGTGCTTTCAAAGCCCATGCCCGCACACCCCGTCTGACTGCAGCCACCCCTGGGAAGGCCAGCCGCAAGACAGGTGGGCCCCCAACCACCATGGTGACAATGGAGGTGTCACCAGCTGAGCTCTGCCCTCAGCCAGTGGGCTGTTCTGGCACTGCTTGGTTCAGACTGCTGAAGCAGCAACACTGACTTTTTCTCCCTTGCCCTCAGCTATGGGTTTCACCCACAGCATTGCCACCACCAGTGGGAGCTGCCGTGTTCAGAAGAGCCACAGCCCGCTTTCCTCCTGAAGCAGCTGCATTTAGGGGGCTGGCTGGTGTCT